TCCGGCCTGCAATGAGAGTTTATTCTTCAAAAAACGACCATCAATACCTATCGAATGGAAGAGACCTGGAGTACGTTTTGGGTATTATTAAAATTGAAATCTATAGAAAGTATAGAAAATATTCTTCCTAAGTAATCGCACGTTGCTTTCACATTCCATCTAGACTACGCATTCATAATGGAAGTGTAAAAAACCACGAATCCGTTCCGTTTATCCAAGTAGTAATTATCGGTGTTTTTGAGGAAATCGTTAAAGCTCCACAATTTATAAATATGAGCCATCAGTCACGCTTCGATGTGGATCAAGGAGAGCTGGGCGATTGTTGGTTACTTGCAGCTGTAGCCGATTTGACACTTCATGATGAGCTCTTCTATCGTGTCGTTCCACCAGATCAAAGTTTCACTGAGAATTATGCGGGTGGGTATTCACTTGAATTTCTGTGTTCACTTGATTTTCGTTCAGTTGCCTCGAATTCTGTTCGAAACGATCGATCCGATGTCATGTTTTATGTTGTCTTTCTCGGCTTCCAGGCATATTCCACTTCCAATTCTGGCGTTACGGTCAATGGGTTGACGTAGTGGTGGACGATCGTTTACCAACATCAGGCGGCAAATTAGTGTACATGAATTCCAGAGAGAATAACGAATTCTGGAGTGCCCTATTGGAAAAAAGTTACGCAAAGTAATCAGCTGTGTCACATCACATTTGTTTCACTTTATCGATGTGAATATCCGGTTCTTGAATGAAAAATATGAGCCGCCAGAAGTTCAAGGCGTAAATCCTTTTATTGCTCACTTCTGTGATTGACTTTATTTTAGAAACTTGAATTTAGATTGTATGGATCGTATGAGGCGTTGAAAGGTGGTTATTCATCAGAGGCGTTAGAGGATATGACTGGTGGATTAACGGAGTTCTATAATTTGCAAAAGTCGCCTAAAAATCTCAAGGAAATGCTGCTTGGTTTTGAAATGGGATCGCTGTTCGGATGTAGCATCAAGGTATATTGACCTCTTTTCAGTCTTTACTATGTTTCGGCCTTGGAACACCCGTGCATTGCATGATTCTGTCACGTACCTGTTTGTGTTTGATTTTCCACGAAATTGTGCAATTCAATTGTTCTATTTGAAGGGTGAAGGAGAATCGTCGAATGGATTGATAAAAAGTCACGCATACAGCATCACTGGTATCTGCGTCGTGAGTTTTACTTCGAAATCACCCTATGTTCTTATTATTCTCATCATTATTGTTGCTTTTTGTTTATTCAGCTTGAAAACTGATATATTGTTCAACTCTCTTGCAATTGTTTCCTCTATGAGAATGACTGAATTTCTCGGTAGTCATCAATGTCAGGTGAAGGAGCCCGCAGGCACCAATAAAGATAATCTACTCTTACGTCTTCGTAATCCATGGGGTGATAAACACGAATGGAATGGAGCCTGGTCAGATCAATCGCCTGAATGGAAGAGTATATCGCAACAGGACAAAGATAAGTTGGGACTGAAAATCGAACATGATGGAGAATTTTGGTTCGTTTTACGACTTAATTAATCCATGTCATCATGAAATTGGAAGTTTCTGTGATTAGGTATGTTTAGTGGAAGAACTGTTTTGCTATGAACAGACGCTTTACAACCTGAATGTTACCTTCAATAAGCACTCTTTCATGAAATGCTTGATGGTTTGAAATTCAATTTCGAAATCCTATAAAATACAATCAGTCTCTTTTGTACCTGTGATTTGATGTTTATGCAGCGCAGCATCCAACTGAATTTCTTCTTTCAATTTCAGGATGTCATTGGATGATTTTAAGAGTAATTTCACTGATATGTCTATTTGCCACCTAGATGCTGAGGTTATGGATGAAGTAAGTCGGATTGCTTTTTGCGCTTTATTGAAATCACATTAGTAGTAATTCAAAAAATTGTGCTTTCAACTGATGCAAACATTTCGTTTAACATAAAACGTCGACTCACACTCGTTCACAACATCGGCTTGCACTTGTGAAACTTAAAAAAAACTCGAGTATGGAATTTGGACATTGAGCGGTTGGTTTGAGAGTCGAGTTTGAGCGATCGGCAAAANCGATCAATCTTCAATCGGTATTTCCGAGCTCACATTGAATCCCTCTTCCTAGAAATCACTGGGCAGTATGGTAGCCAAAGCCTCCGTGTTCGCCAATTCCATAATGCACGTTAGAATTTCATGAAGACAGGTGATTCTCAACACTATTATCGTTAGCTGCGCCGAAAGAAGGATGTCAAGGAAGGAAGAATATGGTATTAAGGATATTGGTGATAATAGATAGGCGTAAATTCGGAATGAGTTGTAACTGCTGATTAGAGTAGTAAATAAGTAAAATTCCGAATGGACGATCCCAAATGGGCGATTACGAAACGTACACTAAGTCATGACCCTGAACGGTAACTTTTTTGCCTCTTGGCGACATGAGAGTT